ATATCAGGCAGATCTCCGTGAATTGTGTTGGCTGGATCCTTACTTACGGCTTTTTAGGGACTGTCAGTTGTTCCGCATATTTCTGGATACTTAGTGATTCTGGAGATAGGGTAGCACAAATGTGGGTAGCCTGGAATTATGAGTCAATATTGCTGACGTACTTTATCCTTTCAGTAGGCGTGCTTTTATTAGGTAACATACTTACAACTGCCGATTGGGTTAAGGAAGGGCGCTTATGCTGTAAAGTCCTTTGTGCTCTTGCCCCAACTATACTTGGTTTACTTGGCGTACAGGCTCCGTCAGGATGCCTTTCTCCTTCCCGTTAACCGCCCCGAGAACGAGACGCTGTAATACTGTCTATATTGGCTCATTGCATTGCACCCCCCTCCCACACGGAAATCTTCAGTAAAAGGCGAAATACTTAACCTTTGCGGATAACGATTCAACACGCTTTACAATATGCCTTTAACCTGTAAGTTGCTTCATTGATGGTAACAGCAGGCGTGCTTTTATTAGGTTATATACTTACAACTGCCGATTGGGTGAAGGAAGGGTGGTTATGCTGTAAAGTCCTTCGTGCTCTTGCTCCAACTATGCTTGGTTTACTTGGCGTACAGGCTCCGTCCGGACGACTTTCTCCTTCCCGTTAACCGCCCCGAGAACGAGACGCTGTAAGACTGCCTATATAGGCTCATTGCATTGTACCCCCCTCCCACACGGAAATCTTCAGTAAAAGGCGAAATACTTAACCCTTCCGGAAAACGATTCAACACGCTGTACAGTATGCCTTTAACGTGTAAGTTGCTTCATTGGTAGTAGCAGGCTGCTACCCCCCACTCCCCCTAACACCTATCGCCTTTACGAAACAGCCGCGTTGTGTCTGGCCGATAGGGGTGGTGCTCCACATCGCGTTCCCTGCGTTTACCGGGCGAGTTAGCAAGGCGCGTAGGTGTTGGGTGCGCTTAATCGATGCAGGTTTGCCCTTCGTGGCTTAGCCGTTCAGGCGTTAAACGCGGCCGCTGACTTCGTGTGCGGTCTTCTAAGGCCGCTTGCCGTTTGCTTAGTTTGCTTTCGATTTGGTTCATTTCTCCTGCCTTAACTGCCACCAAAGCCGGGTCAGGAACGCCTACCCGACAATAGGGGTTTAGCCTTGCCTTGCACTATCACGGGTTCAGGTGTACGCCCGGGCGTCCGGATTTCTGTGTGGTCTCCTTCGGTCGCTTTCTTCTTGCGCTACGGCCGATTCCGTTCGCCTTGGCGTTTGGGTATCTCGTTCCTATTGGTTAAGGTTTACTTTTTAAATTTCCGCCACCTTTTTCACCTCAAAAAAATTTACTTATTAACTGTCTAAGCCTATTTTTTTAATTTTTTTTATCTTGTCCATGGTTTTTCCGTTTGCCCCACCCTTAAAACCCCCTTTTCCCACCCATCCCATATTACAGGGACCTTCCTATCGGTTGCAGCATTCAGGCTACACACAATTGTCCTACCCTGGATAGTTCTCGGGATTTCATGTACTTGGACGCATGCAAAGGCTGCCGGTAAGAAGTGCGGCCGAACCGTAGCTAGGATGTCTCGCGGAAGCAAAAAAGGCACATCAACACCTAATTGCATAACGGCTTTTGGGCACTAGCCACACAGGGTGTCCAAATTTAAGTTCAGCTCTAAAACAATGACAGCCCGTTTACACCTGATAAAGAAACCCGAAAGCCAAAACTTTACAAACAGGTGAACGACGGCACCGACCCACCATGCGGCATTCCTCTCAAAGCCACGGTCTTTAAACCTAACCAGGTTCCCTCCTACGGCCGATCATCACTCAGACCGCTTGAAAGGTCCTGGCCCGTTTCAAAATTAACACACTCTCCCCCCCCCCACACCCGATATACCCCCTATATGTCGGGCTGCTTTTGCAGAGCGTGACCGATCTGATGACATGGTTGCCGAAATACTCAATGGCGTTTTCAATTAGGAAGGATGACTTAGGTGAGGTTGTAAGGCTGCTTATCAGACGACAGCATTTCAGACTCGCCAGGATGTCTGCTTTTCAACGCACTTTTTTCAACCTTCTATAGAAGCCACACTCTGCAAAAAACTCACAACCTAAGTAGCATGTGTTTTTCACATTGATTTTCGATGGTCTTAAAAATGCAAATATTTTTTATGGAAAGCATGCATAAAATATGCTTTCTTTTTTCTTGTTTGGTAAAAAATGACATTTTCTTTATATTTTATACCCAAAGAAAGCGTATACTTCGGTTCTGAAAGAGTTTACCAATTCCGCAATAATTTTGGGCCAGATCGGCCGTTGCATTACCATTTAGCGATTCCAGTCTACAAGGTGCATGCTGTCCACATAAGAAAAATCATATATTCCTCTATGCCTTTATTAAGATACCATGTTAAGTTCATAAAATCTTGCAATAGATGTGGATTATGCTGTACGTTTCACGAGAAGCATTGGTGAACGGAGATGTCCGACGCTGTGTGTATGGACATCGCAAGATCTTAAAAATCTCACAATTAGAAACTTTTTAAAAACCTAAATGTACGCTTTCTTCGGGTATAAAGTGTACAGACAATGTCATTTTCTACCAAACAAGTAAAAGAAAGCATATTTTTGTGCGTGTTTTCCATAAAAATATTTGCATTTACAAGACCATCGAAAATCTATGCGAAAAACACATGCTACTTAAGTAGTCATTTTTTGCTCAGTTTGGTTGAAGAAAGGTTCGTTCAAAAGCCGACATCTTGACGAGTCCGAGATGCTATGGGATTATGTCGTTTGATAAGCAACCTTACAACCCCACCTAAGTAATCCTTCCTAATCAAAAACTCATGTCAGTATTTCGGCCAACATTTCATCAGATAGGTCACGCACTGTAGTGTCATGTCCCCCTACGTCTCACGCCTCCCCTTGCCCTTGTGCCAGCAAACAATGAACCTTGACAACTGAACAAAAGGTCCCGAAAGTTGATGACATCATTAAATCCTCTCTCTCTCGCACACGCCGATTTTTGTTTAAAGTGGGCGAGAGAATGTCCAAGACGGAACGATGTCATCGGTCTTATAACCACACCAGTCTGGTGAGTAATGAGTACGATGAAATCTTGAGTTTACTGATCGCAGGTTACTGACGGACAGAAATGGACCTCGGTTCGCCCACAAGACTAAATGTGATCAAAGTCGCCTGTCTTTTCCATCTTTGGACTGGAGAACGGCCAGCCGGAGACAGGAAGCGAATCCGAAACGGCTCAGCCCTTCTATTAATAATCCGCCGTATGCACACCTTATTTGGTCTGATGTGGTTATGTGGTCCCACCTGAAGTAAACCAATCCCAGCCACCTGTAATGCGGGACCGGTGGTAATGGGGGGTTTTTACAGGTGGGGCCGGGGAACGTACAGGCGACGAGGTCAAGTAGTTGTATACAAAATAAAATCTATTGGGAATGCGCGGTTGTACTTTGAGTGGTTGAGAAGTAGTTGCCCTAACCCCAACCCCATCAGTATTGTGTACATCAGGTGGGGCCACATAATCCCAGCATACTCCTTATTTTTTGAATTCTGAACTTACCGGTGTGAACAATCAGCTCCAACAACAGCCAAACGTACTTAGCATGTTTAGGTAGGTTTAAACAGAAGATTCAACAGAAGGCGTTTGTTAATTTTTTTGATGAAAAACCATTCGATTGCTGCTTAACCGGGTTAACCGTAATTTACGGATCGACTAGTCGAGCAATGCCTCCGCTAGTGTGACGAATAATCCTTCAGGTGGGAATGAAGTAAAAGAACTGTCGACGAGGGCGTATGGGGGTAGGGTAGATAGACAACAATGACGCTTCGCAAACGAGTAAACGTTAAACGGTGCCTTCGTGTGAGCGGAATAAAATAATGCAGGGTAGCAATCGGGAGATGGCACCCAAAAAATCCGCCTAACTAAAGCAGCCTGTCTTACGGGACAGGTAGTAATAGGGGTTTTATGGGTGGTAGCTGGTCAGGATGTACGATAGTAGCCGAAGGAAAGCCCTATTTGAACAGGTGTATGATCGAAGTTGGCCCGCTCTCCGTTACGTTATTACACAATGGGTCGCCAAAGGCAGTATAGTGCTAACGGACGACCGGAAGGTGTATAATCGTCTTCCCTCAGAAGGTTATCTACATTTCTCTGTTAACCACTTAAAGAACTTCAAGGACCCTACCGCCGGACGGCACACCAATGCCATTGAGGCATACTGGAGTAGACTGAAAAATAAACTACACGAGGGAGGCCCTGTATGTGGTCGAGCTGTGTGGGCTCACATACACGAAGTACAGTATCGTCTTTGTTTTGGCCTCAATGCCATGTCTTTGACAGATGCCTGGGAACTGTTCCTGTCCCATGTTGTGCAGACTTATCCTATTAAAAAGTGATTTTGTTTTGTAATAAACTGCCATAATGCGAATGTATGCCGTATATTCAGGTGTACGTTTGTAAAGACGGGGAAGGTTGGGTAACAGCGACTATCGTCCATGTAACCTCCTGCGATGATCGTTCGGCCAGCCCATGTTAGGCCGTCGCGGAAAGTCCAAGTAGTGCGTGAAAGTAGGCCAGCAACCGCTGATATAGCCTAAAGGCGTTTGAGTCTACTGCTAAAGGTATTATTTCTAGGTAGCGGACTTTTTTGGGTGCCATCTCCCGATTGTTACCTAACGCCGTCCAACCCCGCGACGCACTTCTAAAGTAATCGTTTTCGAAGACACTACAACCCGAACCAGAGCAGAAATTCTCGGCTAGAAATAGAAGATAAAACATCGCCTAGACAGATTTACCGACTGACTTTTCCTTTGCACATAGCCGGAGTCAGCATAACTTTTGTGAACACTTCGACCCATTAGCGTAAGCGGGGGTCTGGTCCTACAAGGCACTAGATAAAACCAAATGATCTGCCAAAACTGAAGGGGATGGGTGTGTCACAAATGTCTAAAAGATAAAAAAAATGGGTGCTGGAGGAAGTTGACGATGATGATGATGATGGTGGTGGTGGTGGTGGTGGTGGTGGTGGTGGTGGTGGTGGTGGTGGTGGCGGTGGTGGTGGTGGTGGTGGTGGTGGCGGCGGCGGCGGCGGCGATGAGGACGACGACGACGACTGATGATGATGATGATGATGATGATGATGATGATGATGATGATGATGATGATGATGATGATGATGATGATGATGATGATGATGATGATGATGATGATGATGATGATGATGATGATGATGATGATGATGATGATGATGATGATGAATAAGAGGGGAGGGGAAGAAGAAGAGATTACAGAACGATTCAGGCACATTGTTGCCCTAGTATAACTCTACTCTCAATCACTTTTTTGTGAGGTCGACCCGTACAGCGTGACAGGATGTTGAACCAAACGGATGAATGACGTGAGCAGCGAAGTTTAGATGCTGTATTCAGGAGGCCTACAGAACATTATTACTCAAAGCGTTAACGGGACTCTCCTCAAAGAACGAGGTGCTGCGCTCGTCACTCTGGCGCTGGTCTGGTGGGCAGGCAAGGCTATCATCCATCAAGTAACGATGCGAGACCGAAGGTACTCGAGCACAGCCTGTGTGCCTTTAGCGACCAGCGCAGGTCTGGGAACACGAAACGCATTGCCCTCGAGGTGGAGAGATCTAGAAGAAAAAAACAGAGGGTTCTTCATTAAAAAATATAACCGAAAGTGTTGAACTATTCGCATCCACACTGTGCACCTATACAGTAGGTGGCGTATCCCAAGAAATTCTAGCCGGAATTCTGAAATGTGTTTCGCTTGGAGAGGGATTGCTAAGGTGCGGTTGTAATTTTGAATATCGGGCAGCACAACCCCCATATTTTCAGTCACGTTAACATGGTAGCTTTTAAGTGTGCTTGTTTCCGGCTGCCGGCAAAAAAACCACACTGGCTAAAGAATCGCCACAGATTTATTATGGACTGGTTCCCCTGATTTTCAGTGTTCTTGTAAATTCGAATATACTTTATGTGGATTACGCACAAACATATGGATGCCTGAACTCCTCTGACAGCAACTACTTCAAGTCGGATCCTCGAGGAAACGGCATCATTCGGGTTTCAAGTTTTACTGTCCATTCAGGTGGCATCGTACGCCAGTTTATTAATGCCCCTTATGGACCATACAACGTAGCACATACTTACAGCAAATTTTTATGAGTTGCATGGATACCTTCCTAATGGCGTAGAGGGATGTATGATTTCCCTACATGGAAAGTACACGACTTGTGTTAGGGAACCATAAACGCAGCTGAAGCGGCAGATCGAGTTGAAAACTATTCCGGAATCGGAAAACATTTTTAAACCGACAACTGCTCCTTCCTCAACCATAAAATTCGATAAAGACGTGATATTCGGGTCTATTCAGGTAGCATCGTACATCAATACTGTGACCCCACCTAAGTGACCCCATCCAATCGAAAACACATTTTAGAATTTCAACTTACATTTCGCGAGATACGTCATCTACGGCAGTCATGATGAAGAAAGGATTACTGCTACCACGGCAGTTTTTCATAAAGAGTCTAGGACTAGGATTATGGTAAGTGGTGGGCTTATTTGCAAAGTGAGGGTTGGGATTAGTTCTAGTTGTTAGGGTTAGTTTTGGGTAACGGTCAGTTTTAGGTTATTTTTGGGCTAGGATCTTGGTTATTTTGAGTTATGGTTCGGGTTATTTTTAGGGTTAGGGTTACAGTTACGGGCTGTGATTTAAGATTACAGTTTGAGTTACTACCTACGCACCTCGGCGTTGTGTTGGTTTTCGAACCGCGTTCTTACAGTAGCCTATGCCAGAGGGTGGGTGGGACCTATAACTCTGCTTTAGGAATTCCCTTTTTAGCTTTCGATTACATCTGAATATTGTTTGGCTTTCAGAAGTCGTTAACTTTCCTGAAAAAAGCGGGAAACGTATAATTTGGGGGCATTTGAAGCCTTCTGTTAGTTTACAGTTTGTTAAGACACACCGTTTTTGGATTGCGTTGTAAATCAAATTGAAGAATTTGGACAAACTCCCACCTACTTATTTATTTTCCCAATTTTTTCTCTACAGTTCCCTTCTTGTTGCCATTTTTCCCACCCACAAAACCCCCTAATTACCGCCATTTCCGTATTAAAGGGGACCTTGCGTGTTCGTTTGCCAAGTGGTCCCCACATATTAGATCCATACCAACACCTTCTCTCCGTCTAGGAACACATCGGTGTAGTGTTCACCAAGCTGACCTAGATAAGGGCAGGACTTTTTATCGTTGGACCCCGAACACGAGGGCTGACATACGATCAGATAGTGAAGAGTAATCAGTAAGGGGAAAGTCGGACGCCAGCAAAGAGCGTTATCGGAATATCCTTGCATGCCCTGTTAGCCTTCTTTAAGCGATTGAGGTCAATCGTTTTACGTTAATCTCATCCCAAATCTCGGGAGGCTCGGGGGAAACTCCTGCGATATTGTTAAGTCCCCTGTGTCTTTACAAAAACTAAAAATGGCTACTTACGTTCGATTCAGTAGACAGTGAATGCGACAAACGTTTGGAGGAGCATGCGCAGTTGCACGTGTTCTCTCCGGCAAACGGCAGCATGTCCGTAGAGCTTAACAGTAAGCATAGGGCACTACTACTACCACTCCAACTACTACAAAAGCCAACGATAGTGCGTCCGTCGCAGGCGACGAGGCCCACCAGTGTTCCGAAGATGGCGCGTTGGTGAATTTCACGGCAATCACTTTGCGGTCACCATGTTGCACTAGTAAGACAAGGTCAAGATGACTGTGAGATAGCTGTGAATGCGTTTGCCGACAGGGTCACACAACCAGTTTTCACGCGGAGAAAACGCCCTGATCGTTACACCGACAAATCTGACAGAGAACGGATCTGTAAACCCGCCTGATCCACCCATACTAGCAAGAGCATAGGCAGAAGTAGAGCGATCAGCTTAGCATAAAGTCGAGTTCACTTACAAACCAATATTCGCTTACGCGGGACAGGGCTAAGAGGATGGATGACCTGAATAGCCTACACAAAACTAAATAGTCTACCGGCTGTAAGTCCGGCCAGCCGGTTTGGTGCATTGACCTTTCTAATTTCTCCGGAAGTTAGTCCATGTCATGCGCGGCTCCTAATCACGCCCAGCAGGTCAGTAATGACGGCGACGGCGACGTGAGAGCAACATCTTCTGCACTGGCCAAAAAGCGGGTCATGGCGGACTGGTTTCAGACGAAAGTAGTTCTCGTCTGGCCGCGAGGTCCTCACCACGGCCTCGCACTGAACCAAGATATCAAGGAAAGCTGGAACACTGGATAACCAATACTGCCCAAATAGTAGGCCAAATTAGAAACCAATAGGCAAAGACCGGTCATAGTTAGCTGGTGAAGAAGACAAGTGTGTCAAAAATCCGAATTACAACGTGCGATGTAGTAGAGAATACCAACTACGGAGAGGAATAAAACTGCCCAAAGGGCGCCGAAGAACACCCAAACGGCAGAAATGTGAAAGGTAGAATCCCGAAGATCAAATGGGCCTTCAGTTAATAGCTCCGCACTGTAACTGGACAAGGAATGCGCGTGAGTTTACCATCACCAAAAACTAGGTCAGGAGACTTACAGGATCTCGTCCTATCTCGTGAAATATTAACCGGAAAAGGTTACTTAGATAGGGTTGTGATATTAATTGTTTTGCAGCATAATACACAAAGATATTTCAGTCACACCAGCGTGCCGGCCTCTGAATGAGTTTCCTTTTCGACCCTCTGCAAAAACTGCACCCTGTAAAAATAGCTACTTAAGTAGTATGCATTTTCTCATCTACTTTGGCGACCCTGTGCACTCAATTGCATTCTACAGAAAGCATACGCCAAAAAGTATCCTCTGTTGTACTTATTTGATAGAAAATTACGTCCTGTTTAAATTTCCTGATTGAAGAGAGCGTATTTAACGGTTTTTCGATAACTGTCAATATTTTACACCCTGCTCACTTTTATGCTGCCGACTTGGCATGAAATACAAAGAGGCGTTTTAGTTCTTTCATGACCTACGGGTAACTGGGTCAGTCTTGACTCGATCAATCAGAATCCACTGCATCTGGCACAAGTTTCATCCGGAAGTCGCAGATGCCCGCAGTTACGCAACCCAATTCCCGAAGAGGTCACAAAAAGGACATTGCGGATGAACCTGATCAGAATACAAGGACTCCGCCAGTGTCAGCTGAAAGTCAAGTGGACTTCAGCGAAGGCTGGTTGCGAAATAAGCAGGTTCTCGCGTAGCTGGCAAATCGTCATCTGCAAAAGGCTCGGGTTTTAATCACATCACATTAAGGGGACAAATATTGCCCGCCATTTATCGTCCAGTCACAGTCCTCCAGCCCCAAGCTGGTGTGGTGTGCCGCAGAGTGGTTGAAAGTAGTCATCTTCAAACTGGGACCTCCGCAACCGTTGTCCAGAGAGCTAAGGTTTAAAAGATTTCATGGGCTATTGAAAGGCTATGGTTCGCACGTTCTGGAGGCGCTTGGCGACGGTGGATGGGCCCAGACGCCTAGGTATGGGCATCTCACACCTCAGCGCGGCGTACGAACGCCTCCAACGTTGAGATTTGAGTGGGCCTTAGCAACGAAAAGGGTGCAGATCTCCGCCAGTTATCCCCCCCCCCCTCCCTAGACATGTAGCGTAGACAAGTTGCATTTCGGCTGCCACAGGGGGGGGGGAGCTGAACTCACTTGATCTGGTCACAGAGGCCAAGCTCAGGTTCCAAGTGGTCGACATCATTGTCAGTCACATCCAGTGACTGCAGGGCCGGCATGTTGGAGGGGTGCAGCAGGCTGGCAGGAGGGAGACGTTTGAGTTTACAGTTGCGAGCGGAGAGGTTCTGCAGACTCTGGCTGAGAGGCGGTTGGCAGATAACAGCGGCTGGCAATTCCGGTCCCAGAGAGGGGTTGAGATCGAGTATAAGTGTCTGGAGGGTGCCGAGTGCAGTGAGACTACTGCTCAGTGACTGAAGGAGGTTTGAGCTGGGAATGAGAAAGGAGAGGGGAATAATGCTTGCACAGAAGACTGACAAAAATCGGAGCACGGATGCGCTTCACAAACGCGGAAACCCAACAGCTGCGAAGAAGCGAGTTGCATGTATTAGGAGAACGAGTAACCAAAGAGACGCCACATCTGCTGGCCGGTATTCCAGCAAAACCTGCTCCGGACACCTGTGCCTCGGCGAATTAGTCATCATAGCAGTTGTCTAATGCAGCAACAGAGAAATGGTGA